TGAATACAACACGCGAAACAACCTGTGAAAACACTTTTTTTTTCAGGTACTACCGGTACCATGCGTTAATATTGCAAGAAGCATATTTGGTCTATAATCACTATGGTTACTGACTCTTATATACTGATGTAGAAAGAATTTCAGTGCTAGGAAACAATTGCACATTTGTCATATTTGTCAGAGTGCAAAAAGGATAATTTATGATTTGTTATTTTCTTTACAGCATTCAGTTTGGAAACCTGTCGTGTCATGATAGCTATGTTGGATGTATCCTTTATAAAATTTAATGACACGTGTATTTTTTTCATATCATAAGAAGATTTCTCATCTTGCACAAAATACTTCCTTCTATTAAAAATATGATAGCTCCTTCAGAACTATTTATGAATAATGTGTAGCTATTGTGCTATATCAGATGTAGTTTTAATGTACCGGTAATACTTTATGTTCCAAAAGGTTAAATTCCGGCTTGTTTGATCCAGATAATAATATTACAAAAAAATGTGACAAATCAGTTAAAACTGCTGTTTCTAATTCTACCTAGAAAAAGTATTCATGTTTCTGGTCATTGCACGAATCGGTTAAAACGTTCACATAATTTAATCTTTTCACTACCAGTTTGTTCTTTTCATCACAAATTCACAAAATAGTACCGTTTATAGTCTGCACTTTCCTTGAGAAGATTGCCAAATTGTTTTTGTAAAAACTGAAAATTGATTAAAATTCGGTCTGTCGGCTCCAAATCTAGGGTTTATTTCTAAAAATTCTGAAGAATATAAGAAAAAGTCCCCCAAAACTGGGCAAGAAAGTCTGGTGGTGAAAAAAAAAAATTAATGAAAAATTGAAATTTCATGAAAAATCGGTTTTGAATTTTAAAATGAAAAATTAACCACATCATGTTTTCTTTACTGTCGTTTATAATCACAAAGTACTTTCTGAAATGAAAAGAATGTTGTTCATGGATACCTTTCCTTAACTTGGTATATTTAGCGTGATATGACTGGTAAAATGGGATTTAATGAATTCAAAGAATTATGGGCTTGTTTAAGCCAGTGGAAACAAACATTTATTAATTTTGATCGAGATAGGTCTGGAACAATGGATGCCCAAGAACTCGCAGCAGTGATCCGAAGTTTTGGTAGGTGTCAATACTATTGTTTTATAGTATAGAGAATGATGTGGGGTGTGTGTGTGTGGTACCAATGGTGTGACGACTTAAATTTAACTTTACACCGACTTGTGACGACAGGACCTACATTCTGACGACCCTTACTATTTTCATAATTTGTATTAATACTTAATCGAATTTAAGTCAAGTTTGCGAAGCTTAGGTTTGGTAAAAGGGAAGGTATGGTTCAATTTATATTAATATTAATAATTGTACCATACCTTCCCCTTTTACTAAATCTAAGCTTCACAAACATTTCTATGTTCAGTCTCTGGATATTCAACGTTTATTTAATTAAACTTAATTAAAACGCAATTCTATGTTGAATTGCACTGTAATTGAGTTTAATTTGACTCCAATTAAAACGCAACTTTATAGAGGAACGCATTTTAATCAAGTTCATATCACAACTATATTAAAAGTTAATCCAATGTGTGTCGTTACAACAAAGGTGAGACGTGTATGTATGTGTGTGTGTGTGTGTGCAGATGCCATCAATTCTTTAAGTGTTCTTCTACGCTTAAAAACATACTAAACAAATTTACATTTTTTTTATCAGAACAAGTTGACTGCATGATGTGATAATGACTTGAGTTTTATACATGTATTAGAGCCTTTTCCTGTCACAATATTTGAACAATATGGCCTGATAAAGTTTGCAATTTGGGTTTATTTTAACCTACGTGGACTCCTGTAAAGACAATGGATGTCAGGCACCATCATCTTCCATCATCTTATAGTGTTTGTTTATACAGTCAAAAAGACTGATGACTATCTACAGAAATTAATAATCAACAATGTCCAGCTTCTTCTGTCTCAGATATCTTGCGATAATTATTGCAGTGGATATATTAATATAACCAATATTATACCTTCCGTCATTGCTAATGATTAAAGGGTGGCAGTTGTGCCGCGTCCTGTTCGATATGGGACTCACAACGCGTGTAAAATACATTGTTTATTTACATGAAATTCGAACACGCGCTGCGCAACGACCACCGCGCTTTAAAGGGCGGCAGTCGTTGCCGCGTCCTGTTCGATATGGGACTCATAGCGACGTATACAACGCGTGTAAAATACATTGTTTATTTTTATAAATTCGAACACGCGCTGCGCGACGACCACCGCGCTTTATGCTAATAGTGATATCAACCAAGTAATATTACAAGGTATGTTTGTGTTCATGTACTTTTGCAGCTGTGTTCATGATTTTATTTCATGTTGCTGAAATTGAGTATTTCATCAATGCGCGCACAGTATTGAGAGGCTTTCAATGATAACTATATTCTTATCACAGGTTATAATCTCAGTCCACAAGCATTCCAAACAATCCTCAAAAGATATTCTAAAGCTGGTGGTTTCATTACATTTGACGACTTTGTTGCATTATCGGTTCGGCTTAGAGCGTTATCAGGTATGTGTGTAGGGCACGTTGAGATGAATGTTTTATTTTTCACACCAACGCAGCTTCACCTGCAAATCAAAAGAAATGTCACTCAAGTTTATTAGAAAATTTATTTATATGAGAATCAGGAAAAATATTCATATTCCTGGTAATTGTGCCAGTAATAAAAATGTGCACATCATACATTTTTTTTAGTTTATTGGGCAGAATTTTGGGAAAAAAATTATAGAAAAATTCAATTTTCTAATCATGAAAAATTAAAAACATTTTAATGACAATTTGAAAATAAATTTAAAAAAATGTACACCTGCTTGGAAAACATATTATTCATAAATTTTTCAGATGCGTTCCGTCGAAGAGATCCCCAGAGAAATGGAACAGCCACCTTCCAATATGATGATGTAAGTAACACCCTCAGTGGTTGAATGATATTTTTAGCTCCGCTGTGGACTTTGTCGAGCGGAGCTTATCATATGAGTGATTGTCCGTCGTCGTCCGTCATCCGTCGTCGTTCGTGTCAATGTTTTACTTTTTCGACTTCTTCTTGAAAACTACAAGCTCGAATGCTTTGATACTTGGTGTATATGTACCTTGGGTAGACCTTTCTTAGATTTGTTCATTTCATGATGATATCTTCAATTCTCTAATTTTGGTGAATATTTTTGTCATTTTTGGTAAAAAGTGATATTTTCAACTTCTTGTTAAAAACCGCAAGTCCAATTGCTTTGATATTACATACATAGGTACTACAAGTGGACCTGTCTCAGATTTGTTCATTTTGTAATGATATCTTTAATTCTCTAATTTTGGTGAATATTTTTGTAATTTTTGGTAAAAAGTGATATTTTCAACTTCTTGTTAAAAACCGCAAGTCCAATTGCTTTGATATTACATATATAGGTACTACATGTGGACCTCTTT